TGCTACGATGCCGAACAAGGCAAAGTGCCGGGTTCTGCACTTGCGTCACAACAACTCCATGCAAAGCTATGGGTCTGGGGAAGAGTGACTGGAAATGTGCTTGGTGGAAAGGGACCTGGCTGAACATAAGCCAACTTGTGCTCAGGCAGATAAGAAGGCCAACTGCATCCTGGCCTGTATGAGATATAGTGTAGCCAGCAGGACCAGGGCAGTGGTCATCCCGCTGTACTCAGCACTGGTGAGGCTGCACCTTGAATACTGTTTTCAGTTCTGGATCCCTCGCTACAAAAAAGATGCTGAGGTGCTGTAGCAGGTCAAGAGAAGGGAATTGAAACTGGTGAAGGGCCTGGAGCACAAGTTTTATGAGGAATGGGTGAGGGAACTGGGGTTGTTTAGCTTGGAGAAAAGGAGGCTCAGAGGACACCTTATCACTCTCTACAGCTATCTGAAATGAAGATGGAGAGAGGTGGGTGTTGGTCTCTTGCCAAGTAACAAGTGATAGGACAAGAGGAAACAGCCTCAAGTTGCACCAGAGGAGGTTTAGACTGTATTTAAGGAAAGATTTCTTCATTTAAAGTATTGCCAAGCATTGGAACAGGCTGTCCAGGGGAGTGGTTGAGTCACCATCCCTGGAGGTATTTGAAAGACGTGTAGATGTGGTGCTTAGGGACATGGTTCAGTGGTGGGCTTGGCAGTGCTCAGTAAATCGTTGGACTCGATGATCATAAAGGTCTTTTCCAAACTAAATTATTCGATGATTCTAAACGCTCTTTCGTGAAAATACCATAGGAAAACACTGATTTGTTACAAAATAACAAATCTATGTGCACTTTCCATCTGAGAATTTCAAAACGCATTACAGACATTAACACAATACTATGAGTCTCACAAATCCCATGAAAACTATCAAATAGACCAGGCCCATAGTAGTTGCCATACCAGATCTGACCAGTGCCTTACCTAATCCAGCACCCTGTCTCCAACAGAGAAGAACAAACCATTAAATATAGCATGTCAACGTATTAAACCCTACCATGCTGTTCCCCAAAGACAGCTGAGCACACAGGAGCACAGTAACCTTGGAGCCTGCTGACTGCAGCTCAGGAAAGAAGGATAATTATACACATAAGTGTAACTGAAGAGGCTGACAGTTTCTAGTGTTTTAGTGTAGCCCCATTGGTTTCAGCTGAAACTTTAAGAGTCTGCACGTTTATGTACAGTTTTCAGGAAAACAAATGTTACGGTCAACTACTCATAAGAGTGCTTAGGGACAACAAAGTATCAGTATCCATAAAGAGAATAATAAACTCCCTTCATAAACCCACTTATGTGAAACAATTAAATTTTCCCATGTTCTCCCAACCCTTTATGCCACTGTGGAACATGTGCAGCTCAGCCTCACTTCAGCAGTTAAAAGACTCCTATTGTTGTCCATACTTGTGGGTTTTGATGGCATAATGAATTTAACTGAAGACGGTAAACCTCCTTCTGCCCTCCCCTAGTTGCATTGCTTCTGTCCTGGAGGAAACAAAAACCAGAACATTGGCTTCTAGAAGTGGGCAAAAAGAGGAAAGTTCATGTGTTTGTTCAGAAACCTGTTCCCATCCAAGCAATAATGGAAACCTAACTGATTTTAAAGCAGGCTGGATGTCCCAGAAATACCATTATTTTGCTGAATTGGCTGCTGTCTTATAAATGTTCACCAGACGTACGGAGGGTGGGGTGGAAAAATGGATAGCTGGCTGAAAAAATGTCTGCTGGACAAACAAAATAAAGGGATTTTTTACTTAATATATAAAAAAAAAATACGGTGTAGGAATTCTATGCTTACTTCCCCTAGATTTATTGCATACTTGTTCTGCCATCTGCAGCCCTGGCATTCCCCAGAGTTTCAGGAACAGGGACTACACCCCCAAGCTTTCCCAGAAAGGAAAACCTGCATGACTAAGAACACTAGTAATGCAGGGGCCTCTTCTGTCCAGAAAATACTATAGTTCTGGAAAACGGTTTTGTTGAATCCTCGTTAACAATTACATTATCACCTCATGTTTTGAAGAATACCACCCTTGGGCCTCGTGGCCCCATGCATCTCAAGAGTAGTGGCAGGACAAGGGGTAATGGGTTAAAACTTAAACAGGGGAAGTTTACATTGGATATAAGGAGGAAATTCTTTCCTGTTAGGGTGGTGAGGCACTGGAATGGGGTGTCCAGGGAAGCTGTGAATGCTCCATCCCTGGCAGTATTCAAGGCAAGGTTGGACAGAGCCTTAGGTGACACGGGTGGCAGGGGGGGTTGGAACTAGATGATCTTAAGGTCGTTTCCAAGCCTAACTGTTCTATGATTCTAAGAGGTACTTTCAATGGGTAGGATTTCCCAACAAGGATTAGTGCACTGGTTCTACTACCACAGAAGCTGGATGTAGGAGAGGATCGCTCAAACTAGCACCACTGCCTCAGCACCTCCAGGGAAAGACAGAGAGAAAGTAGAGCCAGGGAGAACATCTTCAGGAGGTCAAGTGACCAAAGAAAGAATGAATTTTGGCTTTTGAAAGAAAAAATTGTGTCCACTGTCTCAGTCGGAACAAAACACAGGTTATTCCTTACACTATATTGATTCTGCAAGGTTACAACTAATGAAAGGTAGGGAAAACCTGGTTTTTGCACTACTTTTCACCCAAATCTCTAGAACAACCGTGTGCTTTCAGTAATTTCCTGGGGCAGAATTTCGCTTTAAAACCAAGACTACACACATAATCATAGGCTTCCTTTTTTCTTTTTTCTTTTTTTTTTTAATGCAGTAATATGAGAATTTGTAGACGTGATTACTGACTTGAGAAGTTCTGGACCTCCAAGTTAAGCTTCCTTAAAAAGTGCTGAGTTTCAAAGCACTGATATCCGATACCTCCTGGCAGAACCACCTTATGATGACTGAAATGGCATCTCAAGAACTGAGCTACCTTTATTCAAAATTTATTCCTGAAAGTGGCTGTAAAGCAATTATAAAAGAACTTATGTGTGTAAAACTACAGTAATTTGATCAATACAGTGCTGCTACAGGTACTGTAATTCCAGATGCCTTCCTCTAACTGGAAACTGCATGTCTAGCTGAAAGATAGCTACAGTTCTAAGAAAAGAGAATTTATCTAAAAAAAGACACAACTATCAGCAACAGGAAAATATTTACAGGACACCATGGATAAATCCCATTTCATTCATGGGCTTCACAGACACATCACTATTTATATCATACTTCTGTTTCAAATTACTTTGCTTTTAACAATATATTTTAATGTTCACTTTGGGGTTGTTTTCCCTCACTGTACGTTCTGTTCTTTTGCTCAACCAAAACAAAATGAGCCTGTGGCTTCACATGCAAGCAAGGTGGTGCACCTGATAAATCCAGTTAGGAACAGAGTGAAACTCTGGGTGTTTTTTTAAGCAGACTAAAGTATATTTTTTATAATGGAATTTTAAAAGACTGAAAACAACATTTCATACACTTGTGATCTATTCTCAAATAAAATCAGGAAAAACTACATCTAATGTTCTTTAGGAAAACTGCTCCACCTTTCCACCACCAGAGGAATGTTCTTAATCCTTTTTAGCTGACTTTAAGCATCATGAATTAGCACAGAGCCCAGTTTCTGCCCTTTTCCCTTTGCCAGCTCCACCCCTCACTACTCCAAAACGATCCAGGAAATTTGTGAACAGCTTTGTATTTTGCACACACATGTAGAAAAAGAGAACTCATTACAGACCAGAACACAGAAAACTTACAAGAGCAGCAGCAGTTTTGGTACAACTGTGCACAGGCTTTAGAAGAGAGTCCAGAAGATGCCTTTTCTATCTGCATTTGACACACGTAGCCTGCTACCAGAGTCCAGGGGACTACCACTGCTTCACAGTGCCTACTTGCACGAACAGAAGTGCCATGATTATAGTTTTACTTCTAATGAGCAGAATGAAATGGGATGGCTTGCTCTCAGGCTCCTCAGTCTTCAGAGCTCTCAGGCTCTAAAGACTGAGACTTAGAAGTAAGAAACCTCATGTTGTGACAGTAAAACCAGGACCACTAATTTGAACGTATGTGGGCAGTAATGCTATAGGTGAAGGATGGCACAAATCTGATGGAGAAATTTTTCTGACAAGTCTCTACTTCAACAGGCAGAAAATCAATGACTGAGGGTCACAGCCTTTGGAAAGAGTTACATCAATGCAAAAACAGAATAGACAAAGCCAAAAGAGATTATAACCGCAGATATCCCAAGGGAGAGATGAAATCATGGGTTATAGTGTTTTTAAAAACAGAAAAAAGTTATTCCATCAACCAAACCCCCAATGCCTTGCTTCCTAGTTTTTCACAGGTTTTTTTTAAATTAAGGGGTGAAGACTGCAGTCTAAAATGCTACTCCATTTCACTCAAAAACATGAAGTCTCTTAATGAAACGGGTGAGTACTCTTCTTTTTGCAGGCATACTTCTGGAAAATCAGTACCATACTGCTCAAAGTTAAGCTTGCTGGGGCAGGCATCAAGCTTAACTTGCAAGCAGTAGCTGCAGAAGACAGAGTGCTCCCTGTCCTAACAGTCACAGCTGAAGTTTAGCACAAAGAGTGGAAAAAATGACAGCAAAAAAATCATGGCAATGAAAGCACTAGCCTCTTACTCCTGCCCCAAAAACCCTGTGTAGGAATTACTTTTAAGGAACACCTTTCATCTCCACAACATGAAATGCACTAAAACTTCAAGGAGTTTGTATGCCTGTGCCACCAGGTCAACACTAGGTCCTGTGACTAAGCCCATTCTAACACAGGGAGACACTGGAGGATTTGCCATCCCTGAAAAACAAAAAGGACACTGATTAGCCCCCACACCAAATAAGGAATTGGCTGCAGGGCACCAGGTTCTCAACACATGGCATGATCACAGAGGCTGAAGGACACAGCCCATCTGACTGAGCACTGCTGTTGCAGCTTTATTCAAGCTCTCTTTTTTGTTCTCACCTGTCTTGTCAGCAAGTCATGATATTGTAGTATGAGCCTGGTATTGACGCTGTGACTCCATGTGTTGCCAAGGGCTGCTATCACACAACCAGATTCCCTTTTCGCACTTCCAGAAGCTCCTGGAATCAAACATGAAAGAAACGGCATCAGGACTGTGGTACAGAGAATTATTCATCATGGAAACTCTAATCGGTCATCTCGGATCATTCCTTAAGCCAGGTAATTACAACTGGTACTTAATATATGGCACTATCCCATGAATGTCCTACCTTTCTTATTTATTTATACAACTGCAATGTGAGTTCTCTATCTCACTCTCTGATACCTAGACAAAATGCCAAGAATTAAGGATATGCTGCAAAGCAGTACCTACTTTCTTGGAGAGATTGGTGCATTTTCTAAATATTTGGAGGTGCGCCATGCATGGAGGACACTTGCCTTTTCCACTTTAGGTAGTCTATCCACAGCAAACCAGCTTTCTATGCCACAGAGGAGAGGGAAGCAGGCCAGTGGAGTGACAGCGTATACTGATGTAACAAAAAGGAGAGCTAAAGGAGCAGAATGTGGTGCCATAATACCCCAACCTAAAAATCTGAACACTGCTTAATGCCAACAGGCATCCTATACATTTTCTAAGATTTGCAAAGAAGAAAGCCCCTTAGCTGTAAATACCATCCTGGTGTCTCTGAAATCATATGAACTTCATATAACACTGAAGGAAAATGCACTTTGCTGCAATCAGCAATGACAACATACAGAAGTGTTTCTAATAATGGCATATGACCCAGCTTGTTGAACTGCCATTACACCTGAGCTTCCTCTTATTAAAACCAGAGACTCATATATACACACACATATATGCAGGCAGGTAGGTGCCTGAGATCTTCACCTTTGCCACCCCCCCAAGTTCTGTGTAAGATGAAGAGACAGAGGGGTGGCTTGTTTGTACCTCAAATGACACTTCAGACAAAAGAAAGAAATGCAGAAATAAAATCCCAGTAGTTATGTGGGTATAAACGATCATGTGCAAGTTGAAAATTAAACCATTTAAAGCAGACAGTCCATACTTTTAGAAAGCTACCAGTGACAAGAACTTAGATTTAGGTCAGGGAACTTCCTGTCATCTATCAGGCAACAAATGAAATTGCTTCCAGAGGACAGTCATGAAATCCTTCTCAACTAAAGTTAGTCCAAACACTTACTCTGCAATGCAAACTTCAGAGCAGCTTATGTTTCTGTCAAAATCATCAGTAATGCAACAGTTAATGTTGAAACCTAAATTATAAATACTGGGTTTTGGAAGCAATACTGCAGTGAGATGACAAAGCCATCTCATGGTCCTATGGAACTTCTGAAAGATCCAGGTTTAAAACTCTTCATTGCTTTTACATTTGCAAGATTGTGGGGTTTTTACTTCCTCTCCTCTCCAGTATTTAGAGCAGACACGTAATTACTTCAGTCACTAAAGCTTTTATTTTGGAAAAATATCCAGTAAAGTGTAATACCAAAAGTTTTGGCATGCAGTAATAATAATTTGCATCACTGCTGGTTGCTTGCAAGCAATGAGGACATAGTGTGCATTAGGCAGAGGAGAGCAGCAGGCTGAAGAAAAGGGCCTGGAATGACTGTAGCGTGATACAGGATTCAGCTGAATACTTCAACAAACCCCAATCCCACTACGTAATACAAGGTTCAGTTAACATCAACTGGATTTGGATTAGGCCTTCAAGTGTTTAACACCTACAGAAGAAATCAGTGAAGTACCTGGTTCAAGCTAATAGTTTGAAAAAAGCTAATAGTTTGAAAAGCACATCCATTACAGTGGATGTGCTGACCATAATAATTCCTCTTCACTTATGTTCTATGATGGGGCTATGGAACTGATGGGTAGGCAGTTGACACCATTTAGCTGGACTTGTGCAAAGCGTTTGACACTGTCCTGCGCAACATCCTTGTTTCTAAATTGGAGAGACATCAATTTGATAGGTGGACCACTCGGTGGATAAAGAACTGGCTGGATGGCCACACACAAAGAGTTGTGGTCAATGGCTCAATGTCCAGCTGGAGACCAGTAACGAGTGGTGTCCCTCAGGGATTGGTGTTGGGACCCATCTTGTTCAATATCTTTGTTGGTGACATGGACAGTGGGATTGAGTGCGCCCTCAGCAAGTTTGCCGATGACACCAAGCTGTGTGGTTCGGTTGATACGCTGGAGGGAAGGAATGCCATCCAGAGGGACCTTGACACGCTTGTGAGGTGGGCTGATGCCAACCTCATGAAGTTTAACCATGCCAAGTGCAAGGTCCTACACCTTGGTCGGAGCAATCCCAGGCACAGCTACAGGTTGGGCAGAGAAGAGATTCAGAGCAGCCCTGAGGAGAAGGACTTGCGGGTGCTGGTCGATGAGAAAATGAACATGAGCCAGCTCTAGTGTGTGCTTGCAGCCCAGAAAGCCAACCGTATCCTGGGCTGCATCAAAAGGAGTGTGACCAGCAGGTCGAAGGAGGTGATCCTGCCCCTTTACTCTGCTCTCGTGAGACCTCACTTGGAGTATTGTGTGCAGATCTGGTGTCCTCAACATAAAAAGGACATGGAACTGTTGGAATAAGTCCAGAGGAGGGCCACGAGGATGATCAGGGGACTGGAGCACTGGAGCACTAGGCTGATAAAGTTGGGGAAGCCTGGAGAAGAGAAGGCTGCGTGGAGACCTCATAGCAGCCTTCCAGTATCTGAAGGGGGCCTATAGGAATGCTGGGGATGGACTCTTCATTAGGGACTGTAGTGATAGGACAAGGGGTAATGGGTTAAAACTTAAACAGGGGAAGTTTAGATTGGACATAAGGAGGAAGTTCTTTCCTGTTAGGGTGGTGAGGCACTGGAATAGGTTGCCCAAGGAGGTTGTGAATGCTCCATCCCTGGCAGTGTTCAAGGAAGGCCAAGCTGGACGAGGCCTTGGGTGATATGGTTTAGAGGGAGGTGTCCCTGCCCATGGCAGGGGGGTTGGAACTTGATGATCTTAAGGTCCTTTCCAACCCTAACCATTCTATGATTCTATAAAAGAACCACAAAATTCACATCCAAAATTCCCTCAAATTATATGTCCCTGCTATTACCTAACAGGAGTAACATCTTGCTGTTGCAACCCTGAGCCAGGCATTTAAGCAGCTAAATGTCTGGAGTCTGCTGATATTACAGAGGTATCACTCCATAGCAATTTCTAATTCTGCATTCCTTCCAGGCCTAAAAAACCTGTCCCAAAGTGAACAGAATGGCTAGAAGTGCAAGGCTGGTGGCAGAACAAGCTAATTGCTGTCATTTATTTTATTATAGGCTGAGAAAGTTGGGGCTGTTCAGCCTGGAGAAGAAAAGGCTGCGTGGAGACCTCATAGCAGCCTTCCAGTATGTGAAGGGGGCCTATAGGGATGCTGGGGATGGACTCTTCATTAGGGACTGTAGCGATAGGACAAGGGGTAAGGGGTTAAAACTTAAATGGGAAGTTTAGAGTGGATATAAGGAGGAAATTCTTTACTGTTAGGGTGGTGAGGCACTGGAATAGGTTGCCCAAGGAGGTTGTGAATGCTCCATCCCTGGCAGTGTTCAAGGCCAGGTTGGACGAGGCCTTGGGTGACATGGTTTAGAGCAAGGTGTCCCTGCCTATGGCAGGGGGGTTGGAACTTGATGATCTTAAGGTCCTTTCCAACCCTAACTATTCTATGATTCTAAGATTATAGAGGAGAAAGCCCACTGTACCACACTGCGTCAGCCCCTGTCTGAAGAGGGCTGTTTATGAGACCCACTTTCAGGCAAATCCTCTTCTGTGAAGTTATTCAAATTTACAACTCTGGGGCAAAGTGGTTAGTAAGACTGGAGCAAATTTACAGCAAAGACTTTTTACAGGGTAGAAAGGAATGCCTCACAGGAAAGGTTTCCATTTTATAAGGTATCCTCCTGCAAGCTGATGCATTAGGCAGACAGAAAGGCAAACCAACAAGAAGTGAAGTGAAACAAGGGGGAAGAAGTGCCAACATTGCAAAGAAGTTCAAGGGCAGTGACAGCACATGCTTTATTCCTTCTCCTTGCTCTAAATAAAAAAAGATAGTAAATGTCTCAGAGGAATGAAAGATGATATGTTAAGAAAACAGATTTATACTCAAACATGGCCTTAAAAAAACCTTGGACTTATCTTTCCTGTTATTTCAACTACTACTTAGTCATTTAAGTACTGGACAAAGAGAGAGTGATCTTTTACAGCACACACTGTGTTGTTCTTCCAAATCCTGACATTTTCAAACTTAGAGATAGGAACATCAGACTAACCTTAGCCCAAGAAAAAAAAACAGGCTCATAAGTGGCTTTGGTCTCTGCTCAGAGATCCCCAAACTGTACAACCTGAACCGCATCAGAGTGGTATAGAACAACAGCTCCCAGATGTGACATGAAGGCACTTATCCATGCTGTGGGGATAACAGGTAGCACTTCCCATCTCTCCAGCCTTCTTGGAGCACAGCTCTCACTGCAGTCACTGCATGATGATTTCTGCTCAGGACACGGATGATACAAGGAGCACAGGGACTAGGGCAAGTAACAAAAGAGGGCTGACAGATGAGAGAAAGGTGGCAGATCTCAGTGTATGGATACAGCATGTGGGAAAAGGAGTGGGTGTCCAGAAGCACAGATGGGATCCTAGCACAGGGAAGTCAAGGTGCATGCTAAAAGGGTGGGAGAAGACCTCTGAACAATCCCCTGCTTTATATATTCAGATCTAGCTCAAGTAAAATAAAATTGTGATTTCAATTCCTGTACACATTTCTTCCTTCCTTACACAAAAAAGAACTGGCATTAAACTGCTCTTCAAAGGGCACACCAGCAGACAGGCCAAGGACTGCATGAGGTTCCTGTTCTACTGTCTCCTGTGAAATTGAGCTCTTCGGGTCACCAGCAGAGATACCAGCAGAGACTGTATCTGTTCTGGATCACAAGTATAAAGAAGGAACTGGCTGCTTCACTCTCACTGAACAGCTGTCACAAGTGAAAATAAAGCTGCTTGTGGTCTGAGTCAAATGCAATGTAAATGCCTCTCCACAACAAGGGGAAAAAACAAACCAAAGAAGAAAGGGTG